CCCCCGCCCCCGCACTGGAGGGACTGCGGCGGATCCCTGCAGGGGGACGCTGCATTGCAGTGTGACAGCTGTGGGGGGTTGCTGCAGACCCTCCTTGCAGTGGGGAGAGGGCAGTGCCGGCCCTGCCAGGGAGGAGGAAGGGGCTGGGCTGCCCTACGGAGCCGGTTGTGGTTTGAGGCTGGGGGGCCAGAGCCTGGAGCCCTGATCACGGCCGGGAAATGGCCGCCTGCTTCCAAGCGCCTGCGATGTGAGGGGTGTCGCTCCTGCCACGCCCAGTTCCTGCTGGCCTGCGGGAATCCCCGGGCTGGTGCGTGTTGGGGCAGGGCCAGAGGTGGGGGACCTCGCCACGGTCACAGCCAGACCTTAGAGAGAGGCCCGGAAGGTTGACCTGATGCCCCAGCTCCCGTCTGTGAAAGGAGGTGATGGTCCCTTGGCCATCTGCAGAAGGAACACGGAGAGAAGTGGCGTTGCCCCCTAGTTCATAGCTCAGCGTTCTGCTGTTCCTCCAGCCAGACTACCAGGCAGCGGACGCCGGGCCTGAAGGAATGCCAGCCCCTCCGCCCCTGCAGGGCTGCTGCTTTGCTATTTGCAAATACTGGCGGTGACTTGCAAGAGCTCTTCTTGCCGGGCGCTTTGGTGCACCAAAGGCTGTCAGCTGGCCCGTCGAATGGAAGGGGTTTCCCGCAGACCGTGGGGAGCTGTTAGACCTTTCCTCAGCCAGCCAGGCTACAGCAAGGTGGGGGGCGGGGTAGTGCTGCTGTCCCTGCCTTGCGTCTCTGTTTCTTAGCATTCAGAGCCATAGTGCCCAAGAACCCCACAACGAGGTCCTGCCTCACTGCAGCCTCCCCTCACGAGCGTGCCTTTAATCTACCCTCTCCCTGTGCTGGCTGCTGCGCTCCCGGCCACGGCCCCCACGGGCAGAGAGGTGGGCCGGGAGGGGGCCTAGCCAGGCCGCCTCGGCTCCAGCCCACGGCTCAGTAGCCGCCCGAGGGTCCGGAACAAGTCACCCAGCAAACGTTGGTCGCACTGAGGAGTTGAGCGGTGAGGGGGCGTTTCACATGGCTGGAGATGGGCTCCTTGTGGGGGATTTCAGGGGCTTTGGCCTCACCTTGGTGTAAGCCCCCGAGTGCCGCTGCATCCCCTTGCAGCGCTGGTTAGCGAAGGTGCCTGTCCCCACTCCTCCTGCCGCTAGCCGGGCGCATCGCTGGCTTGGGGTGCCGGACCCGGGCCTGGCCCCGAGCGTGGCGTCGGCTGCCCTCTAGCTTGCAGGCCTGGGGCTGGCCCGTGGGTTGTTTTTCCGGGCAGAGCAGCGTCGGCGTCACTGTTAAACCACTTCTAATCCTTGTTATTTTGTTCTAATCCCCCTGCCTCGCTCCCACTGGCCTGGCTGCAGGGCCTTTGTTCCTGCGCCCGAGCTGGAGCTGAGCCCCCGGCATGAGCAGGCCAAGCAGCTGCTGCAGCGAGCCCGCATGAAGGCCAGGACGAGCCCTCTCCGGGCCAGCCACGACATCCTTCCTGCCGCTGCCCAGGCCAGGCGGTGAGTGCAACGCCTTCGCGTGTCCCTCGCCTGCCGGGGGGAGGGGACGGGACGCCTGCTTCTAGTGCCCGTCTCGCTGCAGGCGGCTTCTGCTTTCCTGCCTCACCCGCACGCTTGCGCGAGCACGCGACAGGTATGGAAGCCAAGCAAGTCCTAGACCGTGAGCCTGACTCTCACACACCGGGGTGCACTGCCTCAGCCCGGGCTAGGCCTGGTTTCCCTCACAGAGAGTGTACAGCTTGGTTCAGGGCTCTCAGCACCCCCACGGTACAAAATGTCCCTGTGCCCCTGCCCCTGAGGTAGACGCGGCCCCGGAGATCTCCCTGGCACGGTTCAGGACGGCAGCAAGCCAGTCCGGGGTATCAAAAGGGCTGAGGGAGACGGGTGTAGCCTGCTGCAGCACATAAACAAATCACAAGTGTGCAGCAGGCGCTTCTTACCCCTTCACTAGGCACCTGCGCCGGGCCCACCGGGTACACGCGTGCAGCAGATCACACCTGCGCCGGGCCCACCGGGTACACGCGTGCAGCAGATCACACCTGCGCCGGGCCCACCGGGTACACGCGTGCAGCAGATCACACCTGCGCCGGGCCCACCGGGTACACGCGTGCAGCAGATCACACCTGCGCCGGTATCAAAAGGGCTGAGGGAGACGGGTGTAGCCTGCTGCAGCACATAAACAAATCACAAGTGTGCAGCAGGCGCTTCTTACCCCTTCACTAGGCACCTGCGCCGGGCCCACCGGGTACACGCGTGCAGCAGATCACGCCTGCGCCGTGCCCACCGGGTACATGCGTGCAGCAGATCACCCCGGTGCTGACTCTAGAGGACTCAAATGGGGTTTCACTGCAGAGGGCAGAGGCGCCGACTGCAAATTCTTGGCTTCCGGAGAGCAATTAGTTTGGCAAACAGTACAAAAAGCCTCCCCGGAGGAAAATAAGCTGCAGAGCTGAGGGGGGGGTGGCACGTGGGCGGGTGGCGAGGCTTTGAAACGCTGGTTTTGTTCCACACGTGAACAAAACCAAACCCTCTCCCGGGTGTTCACAACATGCAAGTTGGGCTGAAACGTTTGTTTTCGGATGGAAAGCAGGTGGGTCTCGAAAGGTGACCAGAGCCCAGTGGCAGCGCAGAAAGCCTGCTCCTGAAACCCTGGGCAAAGTACACGGGGTGATTTCAACACCGAGTTAGCCACAATGTTCTGACCAGGCTCCAATAAAAGGTAGCAACAGAGAGAGTCGCCCCTGCAGCAAACCCCCTCGGATTATCCATTTTGTGTGTGAGAGATGGTGAGGTTACGAGCCCTCACCGGTGATCTGGGCTTTGGAGCATCTTCTGATCGGCTCCAGGCCTCGCCCGGAGTGAAAGTGAAGGGAGGGGAGTCGCTGATGGAGAGTGGACGCTCCATCCTGCTCGCTGAAGATTGCCGCCTGTAGGAATGCAGAGTCACTGAGTGAAGGGAGCAGGGGAAGGGGGGGAAGGGCGAAGCGGGTGTGCCGTGTTCACGCTCGGTGGGCGCTGCACTTACCCTCCTGACGCTTGGTAGCGAAAGCGGGGAACTTTTTCCACCGGGGGTGATTTACGGAGGATGTCGCTGCCGCCGGGGAAAGGGGCGGGGTGAGGCACGTTTCTGAGCCTGGGCCCAGGCGTCGCTCAGCTGGACAAGGGGCCGTCC